AAATGAATTACAAAGAATTTATTAAAAACCTTTTTTCTGCTTTTTGTGCATGTGTGTTGCTAAGTATATCTTCATGTGTTTTTTCAGAGCGCTTCAACCTTCCATTATCTTTATTGATGAAGTGGATTCAATCCTCAAAAGTGCACGTGACACTGATGGGGGTTGCTCTACAAGACTTAGGACAGAATTGCTCGCTTGTATGGTTAGTATTTAATATTTACTTTATTCTTATATCTTGCCCTATGGAAGTGCATACAATATACAGCAGGAACTTATAAGATACCTGCTTTATTTCTACCCCAACCTTGCAAAAAAAATATTAAAAAATAGGGTTTATCATTTGTGCGAGTTGTCCTTATCTATGTCAGTGGGTGTCTTTCATTGAACGGTTTTCTTTCTATCCTTTATATGGAAGCTACTTGTATCTGATTTTCTGAAATGCTATTAGATGATTAATTCAATTTCTCATTTTGTTTTTTTCCATTTTCATGTCATTAAGGACGGGTGTACATCAACTGGTAAAGAAGAGGTCCTTGTTGTTGGAGCAACCAACTGGCCTGGTAAGATAGATGAGGCGGCTCGACGACGTTTTACCAGGCGGTTGTACGTTCCCCTGCCTGATGAAGAGGTAATTTGCATGTCATGGTCAAACAAACATTATTGTACAGAAGTATAGCAATTATATTTATCAATCCAAAAATATTGTATTATGGCAGAAATGTTATAGTTTTACACTTAAAAATATTTTTCATATTGCAGACAAGATTAGAGCAGTTTAAACACGAACTATCACAGGAAAAGCATTCAATCTCTGAGGATGAGTTTGGGCTCATTGCTGAAAAAACAAAGGGCTACAGTGGAGCAGATATAACGCAGGTGTGCAGAAATGCAGCCATGAAACCAATAAGGTCATTAGACCCAAATGGTCCCTCCATTGAATTCATAACAATGGATGAAGTATGTATACAACAATTAAGTAGACATCCAACCCACCTTGGTGATGAGGTCAAAGTGAATAACATGTTAATTCCTTCTTAGGTACGCCCTATGAATTTAAGTGACTTTCTGGAGAGTGTCAATGAGACAACAAAATCTGTCTCTCAGGAAATGATAGATCAACTAGAGGACTTCAATAACAAATTTGGAAGTCTGTGAGGTGCCTCCCTACTAATTTGTATTCCAAGTAAACACTTGCTTTTACCTAAGCAAGATGCACTTCACTCAAATAAATTATTAGGAATAAATAAATAAATGCTCTACATCTTCGTAAAGTAACTCTTCATAGATTCAAGCCTGTTCATATTGTTTTCATCCTGTTACTTTGTCTACCTAGTCTTATAATAGACTGTCTAGTATATTTTATTTCATGTATAATATATATCTATATATCTTTATATAGTTTGTTACCATTGTATGACTACTTAATTGCAGAATAAATGTGATCACTTTTGAAGTCATTTAAAAATAAATGTATACCTTCATATATTTCCATAAATGTGCGTTACTGATGTATATTTGCAGTCGTTAACTCAATAACGCACACTATTTACATAAATCAAGTGAGTGGTACCAGCGAGTATATCAGATAGCACATTCTCATTATTAGTAAAGAATTGTTTTATTAACTTTTATACACGAAAACTGTACACATCCACAAAGTTGTAGAAAGATTATCGATGAAATGGTGAGCACATTTCAGTTCAGTACCTGATTGTGAAATCGAAAGCTGTCAAGTGGAAGAGTTTCCCAGGAGACTATACTGACGATCATAGTGTCCTGGGAAGCTATACAGCCAGACAGCAGAGCAGGTCGCAAACTGATTTTTGAAGTTTAAATTTGAATTGACAACACCTCCTTGACCATTTC